TGGTGTTTCTGTTACAGCAGCACTAGGAGATGAAGACAGAGGCTGTGGGGTTGGGGTGGTTTAAGACCCAGCTGGAAGGTCTGTGGACACTGCCCAGGATAGAGGACTTGCGGCTGAGTGGCGCTGGAGAGGGAGAGGTCTGGAGGCCCCCACTGCACCAACCAGAGAGGGTGGATGTTGGGGCGCACACAGGGAGCATCTCTTTATCCCTGCCCTGTCTGTGGCTTCCAGTCGAGTTTCCACTGGACGCAGCGGCCGGGGCTCGGTCCAGGTTGGGTTCAGCCTGGGGCCAGGGTTGGCTGGGGTCAACATCAGACTGAAGCTGGTGCTCAGTTAGGATTGGGGCTCAGCCCAGAGTTGGAGCTCAGCCAGAGTTGGGCATGGCACAGAGTTTGGGCTCAGCTGCGGTTGAGGCTCAGCTGGGTTTGAAGCTAAGCAGGGGTTGAGGTTCAGCTGGGGTTGGGGCTCAGCCCAGGTTCAGGGCTCAGTTGGGGTTGAGTCTCAACCCAGAGTTGGGGCTCAGCTGGCACTGGGGCTCAGTCCATAATTGGGGTTCACCCTGGGGCTGGCGTCCAGTTGGGGTCAGGGCTCAGTTTGGAGTCAGGGTCTCCGCCTGATGTCAGGGCTCCTCCCAGGGTTGGGGATTCAGCCCAAGATCAGCTCTGAGCCTGGAGTTGGGCCATCAGCTCTGAGTCGGGGCTCAGCAGGGCTGGGGCTCCATGCTCTGGCCCATATCCACCACTTGGCTGCTCAGTACCTCCCTCCCCAAACCTTCAGGGGACCCTGGCCAGGCTGCAGCAGAAAACGGCATTCCCGGCCCCAGCTCCTTGCTGCTGCCCTCGGGACCTGGGAAGGAGTGGGCGAGCCCCCAGCTGCGGAGCGGACCCCACCTCCAGCTTCATCTGCACGTCCTCGCGGGTTGAGGCCACGCAGTCCAGGTGCTTGCTGGCAGACTCCACCTGGCTGCAATAGCGGCCGTAGACAAGGAACCTGCAGGAAGAGAACAGGCCGCCCAGTGACAGTAGGCAATGCCAAGGGCAGGCCAACTTGGGTGTCAGTCCTGGCCCCTCTCTTCCCAGCTGGGCCACTCTGAGCATCAATTTCCTCGTCTGTAAAATGGGCGTAAGGAACCCTGGTGGGACAATGGTTAAGCACTCAGCTGCTAACCAAAAGGTTGGCAGTTGGAACCCACCAGCAGCTCCATGGGAGAAAGACTTGGCGATCTGCTCCTGTAAAGATTACAGCCTAGAAAACCCTATGGGGCAGTTCTATTCTGCTATATGGTGTTGCTATGAGTCAGAATGGACTCAACAGCGCCTAACAGCAACAAAATGAGTATAACAACAGCCCCTCCCACACGGGGTTATTGTAGCATTAAATGAGATGATGCCACGGCCCCTGGAGGATCATTTCCGCTCCATGCTCTTTTCTTTCACACTTATTGAGCGCCTACTGAGTGCCAGGCCCTGTGCTAAGCACTTTATGCATCAATTTGTTTAATGCTCGCCACAACCCTACGGGGGACGTTCCTGTACCACACTGATTTTTTATTTAATTTTATTTTTGGTGAATATATACACATCAATCATGCTGCCGTTTAAGAATTTCTACACATATTGTTCAGTGACGTTGGTGACATTCTTCACATTGTGTCAGCATGCTTGTTATTTCTGCTCTCATTGTTTCTCCCCCATTAATTCAGACTCACTGCCCCCAACTGTCTCATCTATGCTTTAGAGTTACTGTTGTCCCTCTGTTCTCATATAGTGTTTTCGTTTTTTTTTTAAGCACAATACTTAAGGATGACATTCTTTACTTTTTGAGCTAACCTGGTTTTTTTGTTTGCTTGTTTGTTTAAAGATGACTTCAGCATTTCAACATTTGAAGAGTATTCCAGGGCAAGAGGTCTCGGGGGTTCCTCCAGCTTCAATGGGTCCAGTAAGTCTGAATCCTTTGGGAATTTGAAATTCTGTTCCACCTTTTTTCCCTTTCTATTAGGATCCATCTATTTTGTCCCTGATCAAATCATTCGATAATGGTAGCCAGGCACCATCCAGTTCTTCTGGTGTCATGTTAGAGGAAGCAGAGGTTCAAGGAGACCATTAGTCCTGTAGTCCAGTTACTTCTCTGATTCTTGGGCTTCCTTCTTCCAATGCTCCAGATGAATGGAGGTCAATTATTGTATCTTGGAGGGCTGCTGGCAAGCTTTTAAAACCCCAGACACTACTCACTGAATTGGAAGATAGAACAGAACCTTTAAAAATAGTATTATGTGGAATTGTGGTTAATTGCCTCCATGAACAACTTTCTCCTTTGCCACGAGACCAGAAGAACTGGATGGTGCCTGGCTACCATTACTGAACATTTTGATCAAAGAATCTTTGATCAACAGGGGGAAAATCTAGAACAGAATTTCAAATTCTCATGGAATCCACACTTTCTGGAGCCATGGAGGCTGGATGAACCCTTGGAACTATTGCCCAGGGATAATCTTTAAACTTGAAACCAGAAATATCCCCTGAAGTCTTCTTTAAATCAAATATTAGTGTAGCTTAACTAGAATATCAAAAGAATACCTGCCTTGAGCATTGTGCTTTTTTAAGATCTGTCTATATGGGATCCAACTGACAACAGCAACTGGGAAAATTAGATAGGAAACTAAGGGGGTAGTGATTTTATGTTAATGCG